GGCCATGCATTTTCACTTAATTTTTTAAATATTAGTCATTCAATTTTGTATCATATTGTTGGTGATTTTATTGAATTTCTTCTTGATATTTAATTTACATTGTATACTCTACCCTGAAATATTTTCTAAATACTTCTGTGTGCCTGACATATTTAGCAATGATAAAGTACAGACAACAAGCAGGTATTCAGATGAAAAACTGCCTCTGCCCTCCAAAAACTCATATACCAAATCAGAATATTCGATGCACATAAGGAACATTGACAATATATTAAGCAAAATAAAAATTTGAATATGTTTATACTATATTTACTCTTGTACACTGTTTAAGACATAGGTGTACATGCACATTTTGAGATTCAGGAAAAGAGACCACGCAGAAGGTTTTCTTATCTATGAATCCCCCTTACATGTTATTGGGTATGAGTAACTGACATCCCAAGGGTCCTCCTTACTTTCCTTTCTGTGCCCCACCAACTCCCCATTATTTTCAAATTCAAAACAATTGGTAAGTAGTATATTTTATATGATGACTTAAAATGACACAGCTCTTTCTCTCACAGTTGAAGTTGCTGCCTCTTGAATTAGAGGGGTCTCTGTTACTGGACTGGAGGAAAATAGGTCCCTATTATTACCAAGTTGGTACTCTGAATACATGTTTTCATAGAAACTGTGTTTTTTGGTTGTGGTTAAATATAGCTAAAGTGGCACTATTTGCAACCTTAATTTTTAAAATCAGACTTCTCCTTTCTGGGGTTTTAGCCTCAGACTTCTCTAATTTCTTTCAGAGTAGGTAATCTGGAAAAGCATTTTTCTCTTCTACAAAGTGGACATTTTCAAGAGACCGTAAAAGTAGGTTTGCAGTTGTGAATATGCGAAACACAAGTGTATTCTTGCATTATTTATTATTGTGTTATTTTCCATATGAGCAACTATAAACCTACTTTTGCTCACCTCTGTTTTGCTTTTAAACATGATTTCTTCCTGCACATGTACCTCATTTTCTCCAGCTTGAGGCAAACTGTTTCTCCTCTGTACGTTCTTAGGCCTTTCTAAAGATCCAGTTATACCCTATGTTACTGGTATATCGATAATATCATCCCAACTCTACTGTGCATATATTGAATGCAAAGCTTTTTGCTTATCCTTGTTACCTGTTAACAACAGAATCTTGTCCAGTGCCTTGCATGTAGTAAGTGCTCAACTGAATACATCAAATGCATAAGGAAAACTTAGATAAATAAGGCCAAAGTAGTGTATTTTAATTTAATTACCTCTGACTGAAACTAATTTTTATAAGGTATAAAGTATTTAAATTGGCTTTTAAAATAGGAGGACTCCTATGGCTAGGTGCCTTAATTTCTGATGAATGGAAGCGTGGTCTTGAGATTATAAAACACTAGTTTTTAGAGCTCAAATTGCGTTTTTTAAGCCTGACCAGAAAGTGCAGTCCACATAGGAAACAGTTTCATTTTAATATTCCAAAGGATTTATCCTTTTGAGAATGTCATTGAAGCTACCTTCCCCTCGACACCCCCCCCCCCACAGAAACACACACATTCAGAAAAATGCACATGCATTTACATAGATAGTTCTGTATCCTATTTTAGAGAACTCAAAAGACCTCATGTTAGGAACTGCTTTTGTGTGTAGAATAGATTACAGTTGACTAGTCGAGATGTAGCTAGATATAATAGAAAAATATACTACATATAAAATCAATTGATCTGAGTTCTAGCTCTCTTGTTCTACCTTTGGTAAATTCGATGCCATTTGGAGGATCATGAAATCTCTCCTTGTTCTTTCTGAAGTTGTTGGATAAGTGTACATTCATTCTAAGTACATGTACTTAGAATGGTGTTGGGTACCTAGTATGCTTCTCAGATTTTGTTCCCAGTCTTTGTTTCTATTATCTCATGTAGGATTTCTGAATTTTGTGATGCTCTAATTATCTTTCCCTTAAGAAAATTACGTGTGTGTGTGTGTGTAAAATTTGAGTAACAATCAACTTGTCATTCTATTGTCCTTTAAGCCAAGCAGTAAGCTGTATTCTGATCTTTGGATGCCTCTGTGTAGACATTACAGTGCTTCTTATCTCAGTGCTACAATGGAAAATTCTGAGACAAAGGAAGTATGTGCCTGTCTGTGTGTGAAAGTAACTGGGGGAAGAAAAGAGCACTGAGATAATCTACTGAAGTTGTTATGTTATTGTGCTGGTGTGACTTGTTAAAGCAGTGAAGCTTTTCCTTACAATTATAGTTGACTAGAGGCCTGGTACATGGATTCATGCACCGGTGGGGTCACTCAGCCTGGCCTGCGCCCTCTTGCAGTCTGGGACCCCTCGGGATGTAGTAGTGTATGAAGTGGCAGGCGACCGGGGAGGAGCCCAAGCCCAGGCAGGGCGCTGCGCTGCTCCCACTCATCCGGGCCCCGCTGCGCCTGCTGCTACTGGCACTTGGTAAGCTCGCTGAGCATCATTCCCACTGTGGGCGTGCACTGACCACGAGGGGGCAGCTCCTTGGTGGTCAGTGCACGTCATAGTGACCTGTCGAACGGTTGACTGGTTGCTTAGGGTTTTATATATATATAGATAAGAACTTCCGTCTTTTTCAGAGGTTGGATGTATTATGTCTTATTGAAAATCCGTTATTGTTCATGTAAAATCCTTTATAAAAACAGATTTTATTAATGTTTGTCAGCAGCAATCAGGTTGTATTAAAAATATGTGACTTTTTACTTTTATTCTCATTAGGGAAGAAGATAAAAACATATTTGATTACTGCAGAGAAAACAACATTGACCATATATCCAAAGTCATCAAATCAAAAAATGTGGATGTGAATATGAAAGATGAAGAGGTATGAAAAACATGCCCTGTAATTATATTCTTATGCTTTCTTGTTCTGCCCCAGTGCTTTTTTCTAAATGGCAAGCCTGTGAACTACAATTCAAAGAACAGTATGGTTAAGAGAATGTCAGAATATCTAAATGAGATGGTCAGCCAGTGAGGATACTTCCTGTATATGTAGCCATCATATTTCTGTCATGGCACAGAAGTTACTAGGTGAAACTTGCACTCAAATAATTCATACTTGTTTATGATAAAGGGAGAGATAGTTAACATAAGTAAGATCTATAGGAAATCTATAATAATAAAAGCATAATGTGCTAATTCAACCAGACATCCTTCTGGACGACCTTCTGGATGAAGCTGGGGCTGCGAGGGAAGCCCTGGGTCCTGGGTGCCTGCCGGCAGCTGGAGGAAAGCCCCAGCCAATCCTGGGTGCCTGCCGGCGGCCGGAGGGAGGCCTAGGTCCGAGGTGCCAGAGGGAAGCCGGTGCCAGCAGCCGGGGGAAGGAAGCTTGCATTTTGTGCATCAGGCCTCTAGTATAAAAATATTTAGCCCAGCTGGCGTGGCTCAGTGGTTGAGCATCAACCTATGAACATAGAGGTCAGGGTTCAATTCTCAGTTGAGGCACATGCAGATTGCGTGCTTGAACCCTGGTGTGGGGTGTTTAGGAGATGGCCAATCAATGACTCTCTCTCATTGATGTTTCTGCCTGTCTCTCCCTCTTGCTCCTTTCTAAAATCAATAAAAAATATATATGTATATATATAAAGAAATATTATAAATAGCTTTAGTGTTCTCTATCATTATATCTTAAATGGTATATTGTCCTTTACTCAATAAGTATATTTCTAGAAAACTCAAGAATTTTGGTAAATCCAGTCATTTAAATGTGGGCCCACTATTTAAATATATTTTGTAAAATATATTATTTCTTAAGTTTATTTGTTTTGTGAATAATACTATTTATTGAGCTTAAATTGTCCCTGAATTTTAGTTTTTAAAAAAGATGCAAACTTTAATTCACTTTTAATTATTTTTCTTATTCTTTGGTAATACAGTAAAAGCTGATTAAAATGACCAGCAGGTGGCAATTGTTAGGAAAAGGGCATGCAGTGATCATAGATAATGTGTCGAGTAGATAAATGATCAACTTATGTATTAATTGAGAGCTCTCTGTATAGGATAGCCCTTTGTGATTATGCAAAACAGAGTTTATTCTTTATTAATTATTATTTTCCATATGAACAACTGTAAACCTACTTTTTCCCCACTTGGTATTATCTCACTTTAGGCAACATCTTTCCTGTAACATACTGTCAGTGACATCTAGAACTGAAAATGTAAGGCTGTAATTCTATAGTAATATACTGTTTGTTTTCTCCTAAGTATTGAAACAAACCATCAAGAAAAATGTAGCTAGAGAAAAGTAGATGCCAGATTGTGAAATAATAAAACTAGGTCATGATTCCAGCTAAGGGTCTTTGCCTTTCAGGATCAGAATACTTTTTCTTAGGGAATCAGGCATGATTATTTCCCTTGATTTTATTGTCTTTTCTTATTTTTGTGCTCCTGAGTTAAGATTTTTTTATAAAATTAATACATGTGAATAGTTCAAAGAATATCAAGTTATGTCTTAAAACAAACAAAAAAAAAGTACTCCCTTACCTGCATCCTTCTCACATTTGATTCTAGCTCCCTTGAGGCAAAAATTTTCCATTCTTTTAGTTGTTTCTTTTGCAGTTTACCTACATAATCCTATATAATAAAGGGGTAATATGCAAATTGACCCTAACAGCAGAACGACCCAGGAACGACTGGTCGCTATGACATGTGCTGCTCAACACAGGAGCTGGCCCCTGGTCATCAGTGTGCTCCCACAGGGGGAGCTCTGCTCAGCCACAAGCCGGGCTGATGGCTGCAAGCACAGCAACAGTGGTGGTAGCCTCTCCCATCTCCTCAGCAGTGCTAAGGATGTCTGACTGTGGCTTAGGCCCGCTCCCCACTGCCAGGGGCTCCCGGGCTCCCAGAGGTATGTCTGACTGCCAGGTTAGGCCCAATCGCCTGGGGGAGCGGGCCTAAGCTGGCAGGTGGACATCCCCCAAGGACTCCCAGGCTGCCAGAGGGATGTCTATGACTGCCAGCTTAGGCCCAGTCCCCCTGGGAGTGGGCCTAAGCTGGCAGGTGGACATCCCCCGAGGGGTCTCCGACTGCAAGAGGGCGCAGGTCAGGCTGAGGGACCTCCTGGAGTGTATGAATTTTTGTGCACCAGGCCTCTAGTGTAATATAATTAGTTATATTATGACTACATAAATATTGTCCATTGTTGAGCTATGAATTGTACTATATGTGTTAGCTTTTGCTGTAGCAAAAACAACCCCAAATTTCATGGGCTAACAAAAACATTTTTTCTCTCTCTCATATTTCAAAAGGGTTTTTGGGTCACTTGAGGCTCTGCTGGGTTCTGCTAGCCTTGTTTGTGATCAGTTCATCTTGATTTTGTGTATTTTCTCATGCTGAGATCCAATCTCAATAGATAGGGGCAGAAACTAAAGGCAGAAAGACCAGATCCACAAATACATTTAAAGATTTTGCTTGGATGAGGCATGTGTCACATCTACTCAGAGTCCTTTGGCCAAAACAAGTTACAAGGGCAAGTCCCAGGGCAGTAATGGTAGGAAGTGTGCTTTGATTATAGAGAAGAAAGGTGAGGGTGGGAAGAGAATGAATAATTATATAGTTATGAAAAATACAGTCTGCATACCAGGGACAACATTTTGTTTTACTCAAGGTTAATAATTGCCTCTTTTCTTTGTTTTTATATTTTCTATGTTTCTGCCATTAATTTTTTCCTCAGATTGCCCAACAGAGGTCTTCTCTGTACAAATACATTAGGTATTCAGTCCCATATATTTTTTAGCAATGTTCCTTCTGAAAACCTCTTTCCTTCTTCATCTATAATCCAGACTGGCTACTCTCCAGACCTGTTGCATAGATGTCATCCTGTCCTGGGAATTCTCTTCCCCTTTCTTCTGGATTCTTCTGTTTTCTGATCCTAGGTCTTTATCTCTTACTGTTTATTTTCCTGTTTTGATGGAGTATCTCCCTCCCTATTCATTTCCTGGCTTTGATGCAGTATTTCCTTCAATAACTGCCTGAGAAAGTAAATGTTTTGAAATCTTCCTTGTTGAAAATGTTTCCATTTGAGTTTTGGCATATTCTAAATGCTCAAAAACAAAAAAGATGAATTGCCCTGGCCGGTGGCGCAATGCACCTAAGAGTCTTGGGTTTGATTCCAGTTAAGGGCACATGCCTAGGTTGCAGGTTTGATCCCTGGCCCTGGTTGGGGTGTTTGCAGGAGGCAACCAATCGATGTGTTTCTCTTACATTGATGTTTCTGTATCTTTCTTTTCCTCCCTTTCCCTCCGCCTTCCTCCCCCACTGACTATCTCTCCCCCTCCCTCCCTCTCTCTAAAAGTCAATGGAAAAATATCCTCAGGTGAAGATTAACAAAAATAAAATAAAAGTTAGGAGGGAGCAAGGAAAAAAACTTTAAGAAAGATGAATTAATGGATGATTGAAAGAATGAGTAACTAGAAGCAGTAAAATATAATGGTGATGAGCTGGACTACATAGGTTCAAGTCTTAGCACTGTTACTTTCTAACTGTATGTCCTTTCTGTGATTTAGTTTGTTCTGTGATTTAGTTTCCTAATGTGTAAAATGGTAATAATAATAGCACCTGTGTCTGAGGGTTAAATGAGTTAATATATATAAAGCAGGTAAATAGTATCTGACACATAAATAGTAAGCACTCAATAAATTTTAGTTACCTTGATTATTCTTAATGAATAATATGAATAAAGAATGAGACTATAATGAAGAGATGAATGAAGAAGCCACTCACCTCTTTTTTTTAACTTAGTTTTTTAGAGCAGTTTTAGGTTCACAATAAAATTGAGAGGAAGGTACAAAGATTTCCCATGTACCTCCATACCCCACACATGTAGAGCTTCCTCCTTTATTAATATCACTTATCAGAATGGTACTTTTTTTTTTTTTTTTTTTTACCAAGGATGAACCTACATTGAGATATCAGAACCACTCAAGTTCCTAGTTTACCTCAGGGTTGACTCTTGGTGTTGTACATTCTCTGGGTTTGGATAAATGTATAAAAATAGTACTGAAAATCAGATTCACACATGACCTTTGCAAAGATTATTGGACAGCAGTGAAAGGGATAACATAAATGTCCAAAACACAAACAGCTTACACTAATAACACTTTTTTTTGGTGAAAAATAAAAGGAAAACTTGTAAATGTATCTCTTCTGTATCATTCAGTTACTTTGATACAGTAGCTTCCCCGGTTTTCCAGTTTGTTACCCATGCAGCTACCTTTACCCCAGCCTGCCGGAACATTCGATGAAGTGCTTACACATTCATAGACTGAGACGCCAAGAATTCAGTTGGGTTCTCTCATTGCTCCAAGCAGATTTCTGCCCTCTCAGCCATGACAGCTCAGGCTGGGCTTTGAATACTGATGGCAAGCCCTTCTATTATTAATCAGGGATTTGTATGAATTAATTTAAGAACATGAGGGAGATGAGAGCTTAAAATGAGAATTAAACTTAACATCCTAAATAAGATAAATGATACTGCTTAATGATATTTAAAGCTCTAGCAAATAAAACAGCAACTTGGTAAGCCTTGGTGGTGGACTAAAAGTATATAACTTCAAAGTTAAGTTGCTAACTAAATATTTTTAACCCCTTTATCAGAAAAATGGCATTTCTCTATAATAGGTTGGGGAACAATTACAGTTTTGAGAGGACATCCCATTCTTTGTGTTTATGTGATATATGAACTTGAGATATTTCACTACTGATTGCCTAAGATTTTTTGGGATGGTGTAGGACTGTATTTAAAGTGTTTATCCAGCAGATTCAATTCAATTTTAGTCTTGCCCTTAGATGACTAAAAATTATTACACTTAAAATTTGCTATGAGCA